TGTGTGTGCTGCCTTGTTGGTCAGAAGGCTGTCTGAGCCCACGTGGTCACTGGCAGGGGCTAACGCAAGAATCGGAGCTAATGAACTTAGAGTCATAGGCAGGGGCATCAGGGGGTAGGTGGGATTGAGGAATTTAGCCCTGATGCAGGCCAAAATTAAAATTTAAAATTTTAAACATATGAGTGGAAAGCACCTGAAAGGCCATCCAGGGGAAGGAATTCTGTGTCGTGGTGAAGAAACAAAGGTCCTGAGACAGGGTTGCCCCACGCCGGCTGGTCACACGGAACAAGCAGCCAGGACCCAATACGGGTCTCCTGACTCCCAGCTGTCCTTTCCTTCAGCATGTCTGAACTCCAAGTCCTCTCCGTGATTCGGAAACCCCAAGGCCCTTTCCTATCTGACGTGCCACCTCTCCACCGGCCTAGGACATTGCCACACCGTCCGCAGAACCAATTGGCTTTTCATGACCTAAGAAATCTGCTAAGAGTCCTGGCTGTGCTGCTGGATAAGCATTGGGCTATTAACCACAAGGCCAGCAGTTCAAACACACCAGCTGCCCCTTCTCAGGAGAAAGATGAAGCTGTCTGCCCCTGGAAGGGCTTGTAGCCACATATAAATCCTATATCGGGTGGCTATAAGTCAGAACGGATTCAATAACAGTGAGTTTAAATCTGCTAGGATGGGGAGTCAGGGAGGGCCCAGAGTCCGGCCACAGCTTTCCTGGGTATCTGATGTTCAGCTAGCCAGGGTCTTCCTGGGGAGAACTGAAGGCTCAGGGCATCATGGGGCTAAGGGGCAAACCCCCACGTGGAGAGAAACGGTTAGGTCCTGGGTGTCTGGGGCTTGTGCCAGAGGCTAAGGCCTGGCAGAGCAGGATGTCTGCTGAAGTCTGGACAGGGCCCAGCGTGACCCAGGCAGCTCTGGTGGGGTCATGCGTAGACCAAGGGTAGGGGGTAAAGTGCAGGCCCAGGCTCTGAGCCCAGGATTAGGATTCCCTGGCTTGGCCACCCAAGCAGGCCCTGGGCCCTCTTTAGCATCCTGTCTTGCCTGCCAGTGGTAGGGGGAGCACCCGGCTGGCCTAGGGCCTGGGGAGGAGCCAGGCGTCAGGGAGCCTGATGCTCTGAGCAGGCCAGACAGTGGGGGATCGGGTTTCAGTCCAGCTGTATTTTTGGCTGGATGGGCCAGGAGCTGAGCAGGCAGCCAGGGCAGCTGCCCCCAGAGGGGCACCCCTCCCCAGCACCACCCTCACGGTCCCCCTCCTCCCCCACTCCCCCGCCCTGTAGCAGAGGTGCTGAGGCTAGTGGGTCGCTTTGGGTTTTCGGGGGCTGCTGCTGAGTTTCTGCAGCGTCTTCTTGATGCGCAGCGCGGTGAGGCGGGCAGAGGGGTTGGGGTACCAGCACTCCCGCATCATCTGAGCCAGCCCTGAGAGGACCTGGGGGTTGAGAGAGGCAGGAGAGAGGAAGCTGGTGAGGGGAGGAGACTGGGCCAGTGACATGACCAGGAGACATAGCAGGAGGGAGGACAAGAGGGAGGTGACCGTGTTGAAAGCAAGGGTGAGACAAGCGTGGAAGGAAACAGGCCGCTGGAGTGACTGATGACAGATGGGGGAGGAAGAGAGTGGGGCAAGAAGGGAGATGGCGAGAAGTAGGTGTGACCCAGAGCCTCAGGGCTGGAGCACCATCTTTCACACACTTGCCCTTACCTCTGCCAAGACCCAGGGGAGAGGGGAGACCCTCAAGCCAAGAGACTCATGCCACCCACCCCGCCCGTAGCTGGAGAACCCAGCGCAAAGGGCCTGTTCTGGTGCCAACCTCTACCCCAACCATGGCGGGGCCCAGGGGGACTGTGGGCAAGGATGGGGTATAGGCACTACCCCCCAAATGCAGGGCTCTGGAAAGAACCTGGTCCCAGGAAGCGCAGGGGCCACAGACGGAATCAGCCCTGCGTCTCACTGCCTTGGACGTGTCTGTGTATGTGCACAAGAAAGCACGTGTGCACCCCTGCTGCGGCCATGTGTGTGCCCAATATGCCTGGTCTATGTCCACATATTTGTATATCCCTGTGCTCATCTACCCAGTAAGTGCTTATGAAGCACCCGTCGTGTGCCAGGCACTGTGATGGGTTCTGGGGAGAGAAGGGTGATCAAAGGGACAGGCTCTGTCATCGTGGGGCTATTGAGCTGGCATCATGAGCATGTGTATATGTCTGAGTGGATATTTATGCCGCATGCTGCTGGAATGTGTTATATACACACATATGCAGATATGTTTTCATATACACATGTGGAGCACGGAGAAACAAGCCCAAGGAAGCCCACCGGAATCCCAGCGCAGGAAACACGGCAAGGTGAAAACCCAAAAGCAAACCATGCCCGCGGCCAGTGAGTCCATTCCAACTCCTAGGGACCTTCACAGGGCGTGTGGTTCTTGAAGAGCTGCTAAGTGCAAGGTCTGCAGTTCGAAACCACCAGCTGCTCGGCAGGCAAAAGATGAGACTTTCTACTCACATAAATAGTCACAGTCTCAAAACCCAGAGGGGCAGGGCTACCCTGTCCTATTGGGTTGCAGTGAGACAGAATTGACTCAATGGCAGTGAGTTTTTGTTTTGTTTTGTTTTCTCCGAGTCCACAAATCTTTATGGGAGCAGACAGCCTCATCTTTTTCCCATGGGGCGGGTGGTAGATTCAATCTGCTGACCTTGCGGTTAGCAGCACAATGCGTAAACCCATCATGCCACCTGGACTCCAATAGACATACATGTTTTCATATAAGTATGTGGCATGTTTAGAGAAGCAAACAAATCACTCCTGGGAAAAGTGGAGGGCTCTGGAAATCCCTGGATAACCAGAGGGACCATGTCAGAGGCCAGGGACAGACCTTCCACCAGGACACCTGGAAGCTATCCAAGGTGAAGTGGAGTCTTCAGACTCAAGCACAGGCACCCGGGCCCAGCAATTGCAGCTACGAGCTAGCACCCCACGCCATCCCAGCCCCAGCAAGGCCTTACCGGGTCTGCAGCCAGCCGGTTGGGGATAACAGGGGTCTGCTGGTCAACACACACCACCTTCTTCATGTCCTCAAAGCTGGGGTCATTGGGCACCGCATCATAGAAGGGTGGCCTGTAGTCCTCCACGATTCCTAGAGACAAGGTAGGGGGCTCAGCACCCCAGGAAGGCCCCATTCCACCCCAGGAAAGCCCCCTACCCACTCTCGCAGACAGCAGGAAGCCAGTTACCTGCTCCTGAGCCCTGGGACCCCATGCATATCAGACCTGAGAGGAACATTACGATACGGCGAGCAATTTATTAATAGTGATTCAAAAAAGTTCACAACCACTGAGATGATTCCAACTCATAGCAACACATAGGTCAGGGCAGAACTGCCCCTATGAGTTCGCAAGACTGTAATGCTTTACAGGAGTAGGAAGCCCCGCCTTTCTCCCTAATCGTGATGCAGGGTGCTTATTTTATATTTACTCTGTGCCAGGTGATATGCAGATGACACGCCTTGCTCACTGAAAGTGAGGGGTACTTGAAGCACTTGCTGATGAAGGTCAAGGATCGGAGCCTTCAGTATAGATTACAACTCAATGTGAAGAAGCCCCAGATCCTCCCAACTGGACCAATAAACGGAGAAAGGGCTTGAAGTGGTCAAGGATGTCCTCTGGCTTTGACTAGCCCACAATCCATGCCCACGGAAGCGCCAGTCAAGAGATCAGAGGACACGCTGCGTGGAGTAAATCTGCTCCCCAAGACCCCCTTCAGGTGTTATTGTGAGGACCAAGGTGAGCCTGACCCAAGCCATGGCATTCTTCATCACCTCATATGTGCGCGATATGCACTGCCTGCGGAAGCCCCGGGAAGCATCGATGCATTTGCATCGCCAGAGGAGAATTTCAAAAGTACCGTGACCACCCAGAGAACAACGGCGCCTGTCTTAGAAGTACAGGCAGAGTGCTCTTTAGAGGCAAGGATGGCGAGACTTTGTCTTACGCCCTTTGGACACGTGGTCAGGAGAGAGCAGTCCCTGGGCAAGGGCCCGTGCCTGGTAAGGCAGAGGGGCAGTGGAACAAAGGCAGGCCTTCCACGAGATGGATGGATGCTGTGGCTGCAACAATGAGCTCAAACATGGGCACACCTGCGAGGGTGGGGCAGCTGTACGGAGGATCGCTGCCAATCAGCACCTGCCAGCAACGATGACAACAGCAGGCGCCAGGCCTGGTGTGAAACACGTGGCACGCAGGGCCTGGTGAGGCTTCGCGACAACCCTCTGAGATGAGTACTGTGAGGAGACTCATTTTACCCTGAGGCTCAGAGGAGGTGGGCAATTTCCTCAATGTTTTACACAGGGAGGAATAACCGAACCAAGACTTAAATTGATCTCATCTGACTTCCCAGCCCTAGCTTGCTCCAGACACTCCATAACTGCCTCCTACCCAGGGTCTGTGGACGCTTCCAGCCTAGCGGTGACACCAGCCACTGCCCCCCTGCTATGGGGTTGATTCTGATTCACAGTGGCCGTTAGAGCAGAGTAGAGCCAATCCGCAGGTGTCCAAGGCTGCCTTTCTCCCTGAGAGCAGCTGGTGGGTTTGCAGTCCTACCCTTAGCTCACTGCACCACCAGAATACTCAAGAGGAGCTCTGGTGGCAAAGAGGTTACAAGTTGGGATGCTAATCACAAGGTCAGCAGTTGGAAACCACCAGCTGCTCCTTGGAAGAAAAAAGAGGTTTTCTATTCCTGTAAAGAGTTACCGTCTCAGAAACCCCCGGGGGCAGTTTTACCCTATCCTCAAGAGTCACTAGGAGATGACATGGACTTGATGGCAGTGTGTTGTTGGTTTTTTGTTTGTTTTTTTTTGGGGGGGGGTGATGTTTACTGAGTACTTACATTGGACCAGGCACTGTGCTAAGTGCATTGCATTAAATGTCCACAACTTCGCAACATCTGAGGTCGATCATACTGTCAGCTCCCCTTAAAAGCACAGAAAAATAAGACCAGCGAGGCGAAATAACTTGACAAAGATCACATCGGTGCTGAGTGACAGAGCTAGGATTCAAGCCCTGAAAACCCCACACCCAACGCACTGCCATCAAGCTGACACGGACTCACAGTGCCCCTGTCGGGCAGGGCAGAACCCCCCCCCCCTCACCCACACCCACTGGGGGTTTCTGAGACTGTAACTGTTGACGCGAATAGAAAGTTCTGTCTGTCTCCAGAGGAGTGATTGGTGGTTTCAAACTGCTGACCGTGAGGATCGCAGTCCAGCTTATCCCCACGCCGCCACCAGGGCTCCATAAACCCAGAGAGGCCTATAGCAAAGCCATGCTTTTGACCTCCAAGCTCTCCTGGGGGCCTGAAGCTGGTGGACTGCTGGGTGAGGATGTGGAACGAGAGGAATGGGGAGGAAGCACCGCCCCTCAGAAAAGGGATTGTTACCCCGACCCACGGGAAGGAGGTGGCCAGCCCATCTCCCAAATGCGCAGTGCTTAGTACAGGCTTTCTGAAGATGGTGGCAGTCTTGTTGCAGATAGATAGGGTGGCAAAGGCCAGGCCCTGAGGACACACCCAATGCCCGTCCTGCTTCCCAGTCTGAGGTTGGAGACCACAGGCCACCACCTCAGTGGCGCCCACGCCAGCTGTTCCCAGCATGGCTGCCTTCCAGGAGCCGGGCTGCCTCCGCCCTAATCAGGGCTGCACGGAGCCTGAGCGTGTCTAATGAGCCTTTAATCAGTGCCGGGGCTGACACCAGATTACAGTGTTTATAATGTGCAGCGGGTCGGGTGTGTGGGGCTGACAGGCTTCCCCCTCCGCCCCGGAGCCTGTGGCCAGACTCTCCCTCGGCCCAGGCTGGTCCAGCCTTCTTTTCTCGCCTGAAGCTTGGTCCAGGGGTCCTCAGCGTCTTCCAGGTACCCCCTTGCCCTGAGCCCTGCCATCCCAGAGCAGGCTCACCCCAGAAGGAACAAGGATCCGAGGCCCCTGGGAGTCTCCCAGAGGTCTGGTTATGCCTTTGTCCCTGCCTCGGCTGTCAGTCAGACACCGACCACCTTGGCAACACAGCCTGGCAAGGGCTGGTTCCTGGCAGATGGTTGGGGAAAGTGGGTGTGACTGTCCTGTAGGGGGCCCCAATGAGCAAGGCTCCTTGTCCCCAACCTCTCACTAACCATGGGCAGACACAAGTTTGTGGAGACAAAGGCTGATGGTCCTCCCAGCCCAGTCCACACTACCAGAGGGCACCGGCCACAGGCACCCTGCACTGGGCTGAATCCTGATTGGGAGTAAGCCCCCAAAAGCCAAGCCCCCTGCCATTTCATCCATTCCGGCTCCTAGTGACCCGATAGAGGGCTTCCAGAGACTATCAAGCTTTAAGGCAGGGGTCCTCAAACTTTTTAAACAGGGGGCCAGTTCACTGTCCCTCAGACCCATTGGAGGGCCGGACTATAGTTCAAAAAAATACAAACAAACTATGAACAAATTCCTATGCACACTGCACATATCTTATTTTGAAGTCAAAAAGCAAACGGGGCAAACAGGCTGGATTAATGTCCTCCGCGGGCTGCAGTTTGCGGACGCCTACTTTAAGGGATCAGACAGCCTTGTCTTTCTCCTGAGGAGTAGCTGGTAGGTTTGAACTTCTGACCTTACAGTTGGCTGCCCAACCCCTAATCCACTCTACCACCAGAGCTCCTAGTCTCAATACTCACTGCTGTGGAGTCAGTCCCAATTCACAGTCACCTGATAGGGCAGAGTAGAACTATGCCGAGGTACGTCTTGGCGAGAATCGAAAGCTTCATCGTTCTCCCACAGTGTGGCTGGTGGGCTTGAACTTCTGACTTTGGGTTTGGCTACCCAATTTGGAACCCACTAGGCCACCAGGGTTTCTTTGGGCCCCTCAAGGCCAGCTACAATTCTGTACCTTCAGACTTCTCGACTGTAGAACAGGGACCAATCTGTCCCCAAACACGTACTCTATTGCTACAATGGCTACGGAGACTCAGTGTTCTAGACATTGTACTGGCTGGGTGTTAGGGATTGACTGGTATAGCCCCCACATAGGTGTTGCAAATCCTAACCCAGGTACCTCTGGGTGCAATCCCATTTGGGAACAGGGTTTTGTTTTGCTAAGGAGACCACATCAGTGTCATGCACGTGTTAAGCCAAGCCCTTCTGAGATGAGAAAGAGCAGACTTGGCACAAGAGAAAGCAATTGGCATCTATTGTCTATCATCAGGACAATAGATGCCACACCACATGACAATCACCAAGGAGGGGCAGGTACTGAAAGGGGTCAAGGACCACCCCCAGCCCCACCCCACCCCCATGGGCACAGAGAGAAAAGCCTTCCCCTGGAGCTAGTGCCCTGATTTCAGCCTCCTGGCCTCCTCATCTGGGAGAAAATAAACATCCGTTTGTGAGAGTCATGCCCGGGTGCTGTGTCAGACAGAGCACCACTGAGCAATCAAGCAAGGCTCTTAAGATCACCTCACTTAAAGCTCCCTACAACCAGAAGTGGTTGTTAGTCTCTCTTTACAAATAAGGAAATGGAAGCACAGAGGGCCGAGCGGATGCACCCACAGTCGGCGGCAAACTCGAGGACTGACCCCAGGGGTCCAATTCTGAGTCTGCGTTCTTAGCCACTAAGCGATGCCACCTCCCTGCCAACTCCTGGGAATTAAATAAGATAGTACACACAGAGTCTATAGCATGGCACGTAGAGTACATCTAAACTCAACAAATGCTAGCTGCTATTCATATTTGTTATTAGCACTTGCCCAAAATTCCACAGCCAAAATCACAGACTCAGATGAACCTTAAAAGGTCACTCTGCTGAATCAGCTGGTGAGTGGCAGTGAAGACAGGCCAGCAGAGCTGGCCACAGCCCCCGAGACCTCAGGCTCCAGGATGGGCAGCCGCTCCATGTCCTGCTGCCCCCCCGTCCAGCTGGCCTGCCCCTTCTGACACCCCATGCACCTTGGATCTCACCATTGACAATGACCCGCCTGGTGATCTCCCACAGCACCAGGCCGAAGGCCCAGATGTCGGTCCACTTGTAAGACTCGAAGCAGTCAGTGCGGATCTGCTCGTCCAGCACCTCGGGGGCCATGTACCGCTTGGTGCCCACTCTCGGGTTGTTGCCAATGTCCAGGTAGTCGCTACTCTGGGAGTGCATCACCGCCAGGCCTGTGGGTACCAGACCTGGGTCACTGATCCCTGAAGCCCACAGACAGAGTGGATTTCTAGGGCGGAGCTGGGGGTTCCCAGAACACAGTGGAATTTAGAGAGGTAGTGGGCCACAGAGGGGGAGGCAAATGGAGACTCGCCCAGGGAGGAACTGGACGACACCTGCCGCGGGGAGAACTAACTGTCCGGTTAACCTTCTAGTTGGCTAGAAGGCTCTCTGACCCATCTCCAGAGCCCAGAAAGGTGAGTAGGACAGCATGGTGCCCAAGAGGAAAACCCCAGGCCTGGCAAAGGGGAGCTTTGTACCAAAGAAACCAGGATGAAAGCCCGGGTTCTCGGCTCCGGCGCCTTTGTCCCAGCTGCCTGGTGCAAGGGGGTGATTGGTGGTGGTGGAAGGAGTCTGGGCCAGAAAAGAGTGTTAAGGCATCTCGGGGTGAGACACTATACATCCGATTTCCACCTGCCCACTAAAACCCACTTCCTTCTCGTGAATCCCACTCCCAGTGACCCTGTGGGGCTGAGTGGCACTGTTCCTTAGGGCTTCTGAGACTAACATTTAACAACTGCTTTTTCTCCAGTAGAGAGCTGGCGGGTTTGAACCGCCGACCTTGCGAATAGCAGCCTGATATTTAACCCACCGCCCCACCTGAGTGCCCTCTGAATTTCAAGGCGCCAAGAAATGAATAAGCTTGTCTTTGTGCACCCAAACGAGGAAGGCAAAGCCACCAGGGAGTGAACCCCGCCCATTCTCAAAGGGCCGCCCCGACTCGGCCCCGCCCCCCGCGAAGGGCCCGCCCCCACTCCGCCCCGCCCACCTACAGACCCCACCCTCCCCCGTCGACTCGGCTCACCCAGGTCGGCGATGCAGCACTGCAGGTTGCTCTTCACGAGCACGTTGCGGCTCTTGAGGTCGCGGTGGGCGATGGCCGGTTTGCCCTGCGTGCCGAAGATCTCCACGTGCAGATGGGCCAGGCCGCAGGCCGCGGACACAGCCAGCTGCAGGGCCAGCTGGGGCTCCAGCGTCTGTCTTTGCAGGAAGTCGTAGAGCGAACCGTGCTCGTGGTAGTGCGTGATGAGCCACAGCTGCGTGCTCGAGTTGCGGGAGGTCATGTCGGAGGCGATGAAGCCTGGGGACGGAGGGGCCAGAGAGGATGGCTGGCGGGGAGGGCGGCTGGGCTAGTCTGGAGGCAGGAGGGTGCCCTGGGCTGCGGTCCGGGGCGCTAGGCTGGGTCAGGGTAAGCTGGGGTGGAGGTGGGAGCTGTCCTGGGTCAGGGGCGGGGAAGGGGCTGGGCGTCCCGGGGCGGGGCCTCCCGGAGAGGCGGAACTTGCCTAGGATGTTGTCGTGTCTGAGCAGGACTGTGTTGTAGATCTCCGTCTCCCGGAACCAGGACTGCTCGTCCCTGGAGGAGAAGATCTTGACAGCCACGCTCTCCCCGTGCCACAGGCCCCGCCACACCTCGCCGTAGCGGCCTTTTCCTGCTCCAGCGGCCGCAGAGGAGGGAGAGGGTCACACACTGGCCACAGCCCCACCCGGGAGCCATGCTCAGACCACTTGCGGAGCCCACTTACATGCTGGGTGATTTCCACCCCAACCCCGACCGTATATACCCCTTTGCCTCCATTGGCCTCTTGTTCCCTCCCACTGGCTCTGCGACCCATCTCCAACCCGAGCCCTGCGTAGCAGACTCCTGATCCGGCTCCAGGCTGGGTTCTGCTTGTGAAGTGAAGCGCCCCCCTCCCCTCCAGGCTCGTGGGGGCCCTTGGTCCCCCACACCAGGCTCACCTACGCACTCCATCAGGGCGACCTGCCGCGCCACTGTCCTCTGTACCAGGAAAGGGAGCCCTGAGCCACTGCCTGTGGTGCAGTCACTGTCCAGCAGGTCCTGGGGGTAGGGGTGGGGGTGGTCAGGAGCCACTGAGAGGTTGTTCCTGTCCCCCCAGCCCCTCCCCTGTCCCCAACCTGGGTCCTGCTGCTGTGTCTCAGTGAGCCCCTCCCCCTCTCAGCTCTGTGTGACTGGGACCCTGCTTTTCCCACCTGCCACACTCTGGCTGTGTGGCTCCTAGGCACCCACCTCCACCCGGTGTCCCAGGTTCCCGGGGCCCATACCCCGAGCATGCTGTCCCTCTGCTCGGATGCCTTCAGGATGATGCTGGACTCGCCCAGCTGGCTGTGCAGGCCTCGGTTCTTCCGCCGCCGCCGGCGGATGTGCCACAGGGCCAGGGCACCCAGGGCTATCAGGGCCAGCAAAGCCAGCACAGGGCCCAGCACCAGAGGTAGCTGGCCATCCCCGGAAGGCTGCTCTGAAGGGGTGGCTGGGGGTGGGGTGGGGTGGGAACGACACTCAGTTCCATCTGCTGACCAAGCCAGGTCCCCCAACATGTCCCAGGATCCTGCCTCCCCCACCCTCCTGGCCAGAGCACGAGAGGTAGGCAGGACAGGTGCCGTGAGAAGCTGGGCAGGGGCTGGGGGGGCATCAGGACGTACCCTTCAGCGTCAGGGACACGTTTTGGTTGCAGAAGGACTTGTAGCAGCAGTAGTGGTTGAAGAACTCCGTGGGGCGGCCCCTGCACAGCTCTGGGTCCCGGGTCCCGCAGCTTCGATGTTCCCGGGACACACCCTCCTCCTGAACCAGCACTACTGTGCACCAGGCCCCCTGGCAGATCGGCCCCCTGCACTCCGGGCTCTTACAGGTACAGTTCACCAGCGACCCCCCAGAGGACCTCACAGGGTCTCCTGGGAAACACACCAGCAGCTCATCCATCCATGCTGCACCCGGTGTTCGCCCGCTGAGCCCAACATCCACACCCGCCCCCCTGCCTCTCTGACTTCTCAAAGCCCTTCGCTCGGTCCCACCCTCAGATCCCCCTTCCCTAGAAGCCTCCCAGGCTGCAACAGAGACTGTGAGAACCTGCCCCTCCCAGTTCCCAAGCCAGAGCCCCTTAGGCCTGACTACCCACACCCTACCTTCTAACCCAGGGACAGCTCTCCACCCTGAGCGATGGTAATACAGGGAGGGTCCAGAGCGCTGGGCCCTAGTCTAACTGAAACTCACCATCTCCCCCTCTGGCTAAGCTCCCTAGTGCCCCCTTCACGCTGGAGCCTCCCATCCCACCACAGAGGGCAGGCGCTGAATGGAGCCCAGCTGTTCATCGGTTCTCTGTCCAGGCCCAATACTCACCCGGGGTCAGGCCCAAGGCCATGAGTAGCATCAGAAGATCCCTCCTGGGGGCGCCCAAGGCCATGGTCTCTGGAGAGGAGCAGTTAGACCTGTGAAATGTGATCCCCTTGGGTGCCTTTCAGCCACTGACCCCAGTCCCTCCCACCCAGAGGAAATCACTGGGAGGTGTTTTGGTGGCAGGGAGGGGGGCTGGGGGCAGCGAGGCCTCCTCTGGGCTTTCGGCCTCTGCCTTTGGGGCGGGGCCTGCAGGGGAAGTCCTGGTTCACTTCCCCATGGAAACCATCCTGTTAGGGGCAAAGGGTGGGGAGCCATGTTGAAGTACTCGGAGCTTGGGGAGTCTGGCCCTGCACCCCTGATGCTGAGCCTGGACAGGAGGTAGGCCAGGGGCCTGGGGAGCACCTGGCAGGGAGGTGGGGGGGGTGTGCATTTCTTCAGCTCCAGGTTCTGTGCTCTGCCTCTGGCCCATCCTCACCCAGCCTCCCCTCTGCCCACCCTTTCCCAGTGCCCTGCCCCCAACCCCCACCCGAGTCCGGGCTGCCTCAAACATAAACAGGCTCTTGTCTTCACTTCCTGCCATTCAGGGTCCAGCCAAGCCAGGAACAGGAATCAAGATTGTTTAGATTGAGTCTGGATAGAACAGGCGGGTGTCACGCACAGCAGGGAGCCAGGCACATCCTCAGGGCAGGCTGGAGCTGCTGCAGGGTTTCCAGGGCCACCTGAGGCGGGGACACCTCCATGAGAGACTCCCAGGGGGGCACTGTGTGACTCACAGTCCTTATTTTAGAGAAGAGGGGATTAGGCTCTGGCAGGAGAAAGAACTGTCCAAGGTCACTGGGCATCCAGGGGCAACACCAGGAATGCAGCCAGGGGCCCAGACTCCCAGCCCAGTGCTCCTTCCCTCTCTCCTGCCCCGCTGTGGGCACCCCTGCCTCTGAGCCTTGGGGTTATAACCACCATACAAAATGTAGACAGAACCTTCTCCTGCCAGGTGTGAGAATTCCCCCTTCCCCTCCCCCACCCCACCTCCGGCCCAGCCATTCCTGGCTCTCCTGGCTAACCTGGGAATGGTGGGGAGGTGGTGCAGGGTTATGGTGTGGGAGGGGAGGGGAAATACACTTGGACTTTTGACCCTCCATGCGTGGTTGGCTGGACTTGAACTTTTCTAGAAATTTGGTGGGGAGGGGTCCAATATTAAGGGGAGTCATTCTGGCCAGTGAGAGTGGCCAACCTGGGTCCCAATCCACTGCAGAAACCACTGTAATCTTCATTTGTCAAAGATGACAGCAGAAGACCTAAGCTGCAGCAAGAAGGACTGAGTCAGACAGGAGGTAGGACTTTCTGAGGGCTGGAGAGTGTGCCTGGAGGGGCCGTGTTCTCTGGTGTGACATGTGAGGCTGGCAGGGCCAGGCTTCTGGCCCTGGAGACCATGGAGGGCTGTGGACTGAGATGGTGCCCACTTGAGGCCCCTGATGGGGAGGCTCTGTGGGCAGGATGGTTGGGAAGGGGGCTGTCGGACCTCTCTGGAAAGTAGGAGGGATGACCTTCCTGCCTGGGCTTCCTTTGCCCCGAAGCCTGGGGCTGGGCTGCTGCAGCTGTGTTCCCAGCCTCTGCTGGTCTCCCTGCCATCTGCCCCTCCTGGGGGGCAGTGGGGACTCCATAAAACCCTCTACAGTGGGGCTGGGGCCAAGGGCTGGAGTCCTGGGCATGCAGAGCTGGCACGTGGAGGCGCCGGCAGAAAGCCATGCCGAGGAAGGAGGAGAGGACCATGGGTATGGGTATGAGATGGGAGGGGAAAGGTAGGGGAAAGGTAGGTAATGGCAAACATAGTGTGGCCCCTCCTAGGATGCTGGCACCTTTCTGATTTATACCACCCTCTGGCTACCTCTGAATCACATGGTGTGCTTACTTAGAGACAGTCTGGCTTACACAAGTATTTTGTGATTGGCTGCTCACTGAAAGGTTGGAGATTGGAACTCATCTATCAGGTTCATGGAAGAAAGTCCTTGGGAATGGCCTTTGTGAAAATGACCTCTGCAACAAGCGGCCATCAAACTGAGAAGCAACCAAGCCCACATGGAAGAAGCACACCAGCCTGTGTGATCACGAGGTGTCGATGGGATCAAGTATCAGGCACCAAAGAACAAAAAAAATCATATCATTGTGAATGAGGGGGAGTGAAGATTGGAGACCCAAAGCCCATCTGTAGGCAACTGGACATCCCCTTACAGAAGGGTTGTGGGCAGGAGACAAGCCAGTCAGGGTGCAGTATAGCACCAATGAAACATACAGTTTTCCTCTAGTTCTTTAATGCTTTCTGTACTCCACCCCCCACCCCCACCCCCAACCCCAACCCCCGCCACTATCATGATCACAATTCTACCTTACAAATCTGGCTGGACCAGAGGATGTACATGGGTACAGATCAGAGCCGAAAATAGGGAATCCAGTATAGATTAAACCCCTCAGGACCAATAATGAGAGTAGAGATAGCAGGAGGATAAGGAGAAGGTGGGGGAGAAAGGGGGAACCGATCACAAGGACCTACATATAACCCCCTCCCTGGGAGACAACAGAAAAGTGGTGAAGGGAGACGTCGGACAGTGTAAGACATGAAGACATAATACTTTATAAATTCTCAAGGGTTCGTGATGGAGGGAGGGGGAAAATAAGATACCAAGGGCTCAAGTAGAAAGCAAATGTTTTGAAAATGATGATGGCAACAAATGTACAAAGGCGCTTGACACGATGGATGTATGGATTGTGATAAGAGTTGTACGAGCCCCCAATAAAATGACTTTTAAAAAATACAGCATGAAACAAAAAGACTTCTGGGGCAGTTCTAGTCTGTCACATTGGGTGGGGGTGGGGGTGGGGGTGGGGTAAGGTGCCAACTCAACAGCCCGAGAACAGCACCTTCTTTGGTCTCACCCCTACTCCAGATTCAGAGTCAACCATCTGTGACAAGCCAGGGATCCGTGCTTTTTAGAAAGGTCCCCTGCTCAGTAATTTTGATCAACCCGCAAGGGAACCACACGTGGAGAAATGTGTCCTGTCCAACACTAAGTTTTGTTCCCAGGCTTTCATGAGCCCTAGCACGGCCCAGCTGGGTGGAAGACAGAGGAGCCCCGAGGGAGGGGGCGCTCACTGCCCCCACACGGGCCTTCCGCAGTTGAGCCGTCCACTGTCAATAGCTCAGTGGACAGGATCAAGCTACCCACTGCTGCTGCCATCCACTGGAGGTGAAGGGCTGGTCAAGGCTAAACACTGACATCAGAGGCACCAGGGATTTGGTGACACTATGGCATAAGTGTTGGACCGCTAACTACAAGATGGGGGGTTCAAACCCACTAGCTGCCTCACGAGGCTGTCTGCTGCCTCGGCTGGACTTACAGCCTCGGAAACCCTGTATAAGATGGCTAGGCATTAGAACGCACTCGACCAAGGGCAGTGGGTTTGGTTGCTTTTATGAAGGGACGTGAATGGGGGCCTTTGTTCTACAGACAGCGACCTCAAGCCTCCAGTAACAATGCGAGGAAAGGGCTGGCAGCCACTGGCGAGACAGACCACCTCTTGTCTAACCCTGGGAATATGACGGAGTAAACTCGTATGGTCTAATTTCCAACAGGGCCCAGTGGAAGGTTACGTGCATGAAAGTACTGCCTCCAAGCCAGAGCTAACCCTGCAAGATTCACCCTGGACTCCCCCTGGGGACAGACATCCTCTCCCTGCTCACCAAACTTTCAGGAAAGTTCTCCTGCTGCCAGACGCATTACTGATGTTGGCCGGAAATCACAACTGTTAAGCGAATTTTCAACGTGAACATGCCACCGTGAAATACTTGATCATAGCAGCTAACCTCAGAGTACTAAGGGCAAAGTAGTACTGACTGTTCTTGGTTGATGTCCTGGCTCCTCCCAACAATCCAATGGGGGAAAAGGGGACGTGAAGTTTCTTTCCCATAGTCACCCTGTGTGTCTTGGTAAACTTAAATTGCTGACATTAAATATTCTTTGTTCATCATTATTTGGTGTTAGGCAAGTCCCTTGCCCAAACCAAAAACCCATTGCCAATGAGTCAAATCCTACCCATAACAGTCCTATAGGGCAGAGGAGAACTACCTTTTGGGGTTTCTGAGACCCTCAATAGCTATCTATCTATGTAGATATCTAGATGTGTATTTATCTATCGAGACGGTTTTACAAGAGCAGAAAGCCTTATCTTGACTGAGGTTATCCTTTACAACACACAAAGCACTCTGCTCCCACAGAGCAGCTGGTGGGGTAGGGATTCAAACGGCCTACCCTGGCTTCTTTGGCAGATACTTTAACGGAGGAAAGAGCTTGTGGGTCTTAGTGGACAGTTTTAAATTGCCCTGTGCTGCTATCATCAGCCTGTGCTCTTGGGCAGGTTTGCTAAGAGGCAGACTCTAACGTCAGAAACCATCTGACCATGTGCTGTAAGATTAGTGACAGTCTTAGGAGTCTCAGGTGGGGAGAGTCGGGTCAGGCTGTGCCTGGAAGGCGGTTACCGGAAGGAGTTTTCTCCCCAGCCCAGCTGAGGGGCAAACGGCTGGGCTCTGCTCCCATCAGTTGCAGTGGCTCAGCAGTTCAGCGATCGTGCCAGGGCAGGAGAAGCACTGCATTCAATGCGGCCATCCTGCCTGCACCTGGAGCCCAGTGCCTTCTGCCCATCGCTGACCGGGCAAGTCCAACCTGTAGCAGCAGAGGCGATTGCTCGACTCTGCCCTTTGGACAGACAAGACTGCTCCACAGGGCTGTACACGTCTGCAGGAGCAGACAAGTCTTCCTTCTGCAGAACGGTTGGTGGGTGCAAATATCTCGTTTGCAGGCAATGCTTAGCCCGCGGTGCTCCCAAGGACTAGGCTGTGGTGTCCATCTGAGGTTATCCTTTACAACACACAAAGCACTTGACGATCCGTCCCTGCCTGGCTCCTCACCGCAGTGTGCCAGAGTAGATTCAGCCGGAATTTCCTCTCCCAAGGCACTTCTGCAGGGATGTACCCCTCCAGCCTCCAGCTGAGTGAGGGAAGGGTTCACACACTTCAACCTCCACTCCCAAATCCAGATGTTCTGGGTCTTTGCTGCATATGCAGACTGGAGCTGCTGGCACCTCAGGGTGTCTTTTGCATGACATTATAAATGTCTGTCTGTCTGTCTGTCTGTTTAAAGAAAGAGTCGCAGCCCAGATTTCAAGGTCTCCAGGAGAATGCCAAGGGAGCATGTTAGCATACTGAGGTAGGAGTGGTGGTCCTGAATCATATAAACCTGAATTTGAATCCTACCTCTACCACTTAGAGCTGTGTGCTTTGGGCAACTTATTAATTCTCTGAAGCTTCCCTTTTCCTATATGTAAATGAGAATAATAACTGCAATTAGACATTGTATGTTTGTCTAGTTATTTAGCACTGCACTAAATGGTATATATATGGTGTATTATATAACGATGCTTGTGTGTGTGTGTGTGTGTGTGTGTGTGTGTGTGTATAATCCACTGCCATTGAGTCAATTCCAACTCATAGTGACGCTATCTAAAACTAAATCTTTTCAGGAGCAGACAGCCTCATCTTCCTCCCATGGGGTAGCAGGTGGATTTGAACCACCCACCGACTCAGCAGCCCAATGCCTCACCCTCCATGCCATCAGAGTTCCTCCAAGTGGGACCAATAAGCACTCAATGGAAATGGTGGAAAGCCCAGTCCGGCCTTTTGCACTTCTCCAGGGCTCTGGACAAGTTATTCAAGCCTGAGCCTGCTTCCTCTTCTGTACATGGGCATAATAACCCCTCTTTGGCTAGGACTCCATAAATGGAATTTATTTTTAACAATTGAGATGGGAGGAGAGGTCAGATGGGTCAGTGAGGGGTCAGAGAGGACAGACCCTGACTAAGCCAGCAGCTGCCCATGAATTGAGGGTAAGGGCTATGCCCTCATCCAACAAGAAGAAAGGACAGGGTGGGGGGATCCATTCCTGGGATGGGCTGAACAGCACTGGCCTGGCCTCCAGAGCCCAGTGAAGACCTGGGGTGCCAGCCTGGAGGGAGATGGGGGTCCTATTTGCCTGCATCCTAATGCAGTGATGGAAGTGGGGCTTGTGGGATGGAGTTACAGTGCCAGTCATAGTAGATGCTGCAGGGGCTGGTTGGGAAAGGTGGGCTTCCAAGAAGCGTTATCAACAGCTGGAACCTAATCAAGCCACCCTAAGGGATTCGGCACAGAGCAGGGGAGACTATCAGCTTTCCAGAGGGACAGGCTGGATTTTACAGAGCTAAAGCCTGGGTGACAGGAATCTCTGGATTATATATGTGACAGGTCTCAGGGCGTTGTCCCTGCGTGGTGTAAACCCTTAAACATGCTCGCTATTAGCCAAAAGGTTTCAGGTGTGGGTCAGCGAGCCTCAAAAGAAAGGCCTGGTGTTCTACTTCTGAAAAGCCCGCCCTCGAAAACCCCAAGGAGGTATAGTCTCAACGACAAAGACATTAAAAAGTTAACTTATTCAGAGAATGAGAACTCTCTGGAGTACATTTCTCCTCGGGCACACACACGGGATCCCCCGGAGTCACGCTCTATTTTACCACAACGATCTTTTGTCGCTGGCTTTTGTTTGCTTGTTTGTGTTTTGTTGCTGTTGTTTTGAAGGTTCTCAGAGGTAGGTCCTGGATGCCGGAGTTGAGCTCACAAAGAACAGGGACATGTAGTACGTTCCTGGATTAAAGTAGCTGGAAAAGACTACACCCCTGCCCCGCAGGGAGCCCTTCTGTGGGGGTGAAGGGGTTCGATCCTTCTGCCCCTTTTGTGGATGAGAAAGGAGAACAGGGAAGCGACAGGCCCTGGGTCTCCCGCAGGAGCCGGCCTGAGGAGCCAGGCTGTCTCATTCCCAGGTCACGTTCGGTCCAGCACCCTCCCAGCCTCAGGTGGGTCGGGGTCCGACGCGCTGGGAGGACTAGGGAGCTGGGTTCTACCCTCGGACTTCTCGCAGCGGGTCTTGGGATCCACCAGATGGAAGGGCCCATTGGGGGGGGGGGT